AAACATTAAAACTGACAAAAAAAAAAAAAAAAAACATTCATAGTTGTGGCCTCTGTGGCAGATCTACTGACTATGGCAAACAAAACTGGTCATCTAACAACAAAATACTGACAACTGAATGGTGTTCTAACCGTAGGATGTATATTCTTTCAAATATTCCCTATCGTCCTTCAAATATCCTCTCTCTCTCTTCATTATGAGAACAAAGTTCATAACTGCAGCCATTTGGGCTCGGGCTCTGTGAGTTGTCGTTTACATTCACTACTTCAGTAGGTGCGTGACCTACTGGAGGTGTTTGAGGGAGAGGGGACGAGAGGTTAGTGGTGATTTCTGCTGTCTGCCTGGACTCTGGATGGAGACGGAGGCTGGATGCTGAAGACACGGATGTTTAAATGTGTGGCGATCTGGTTACAGACACTCACGCAGTACCGCACCAGATCAAACGCTGACAGCACCTACAAATAAAAAGGAAAAAGCTAAAGCATGGCAAATGTATTTTTGATATGGCAAGATGAAAAATTTAAAAGCAGCGAATTGCTTGTGCTTTTTTAAGAGGTATGCTTTTTGGGGTTAAATAAAGGTGGAGATCATGCACTTCCCACAGTTAGATAGCGAAGATCTACGCTTTTATATTTTCCCCTCTGATTATAATGTTAGTTAAGGTTTCTTGAACCAAAAACAGTCATAATTTAGTTTTACAAGATGATTTTCACCCTCTCTCTGACCCTATATGCTCCTGTAACTTTAAGAATTCTATATTTTGGATATGATTAGCAAGTGTCTTCACATGTGAAATGAGTAATAAGTTGATCAATACTAAACAAGTGAAGTCAATGTGAAACCCCATTCACAATCCATTTTACTTCTGTAATCAGACATATTTCCAGGTGAAACAGGATGTTCAGTGAAAAAAAAAAAAAAAAAAAAATTATATATATATGAAACTAATAACTATAAAGGCCTGTTTCTGCCACTAAATAAATAATAAAAATGGTAATTTTCTCAGAATTGCATGATATAAACTCGCAATTATGAGTTAGAAAGTCATAATTGTGGGATATTAAGTTGCATTTGAGTGTTATAATGTCAGAATTCTGAGATATAAACTTGCAATTCTGACTTTTTTCTCACAAAAGACGTTTTTCATAGAATACATACCTCAGTGTGTTAATAGTGTAAACAGATCTAAGTTGTTTCAGAGGAAGAGCAAGTTATTATATTGCAGATTTCTTTTTTAATTTGAAATAATGTGCATAATTGTGCATAATATGACCAGGAAAGTTTATTAAGAGTGTAAATCGTGGCGATTCTTATATCATGTTGACTTGAATGTGCTTGTAATTGTGACGTCACGACCAAGACTGTTTCTGAATGACCTTTGTTTCAACTTCATTTCAATAACTAGTCTCAGCAGACCGTGTAAGAAGCCATGCGATGTGATGTCTACATACTACAGTGAGCTCTTTCTTTCAAAAGAGCAAGGAAAATCCATGTTTTCAGACAAATCTTACACATACCAGAACGACCCACAGAAGACAGTACTCATTAATGAAACTGTTGAAGTACTGGTTCAGAAACAGCAGCGCTGGTCCGGTGAAGGCCAGGTCATTACGGTGCATTTCACTCTTTGTCATATGAGCAACCTGGAAAACAAAACAGATGTAACTGTAGTGACATTTACATTAACTGATGCTAATGTGGTTCGAGTCTGACAGATATGAACTACAGACAACAATGTCAAGTATTTATGTTAAAATGTGCAGAAAATCATACTAACAGCGGTTTTATGCTCACATACAAGCCATAATTCTTCCTGCCAACTATAAAAACAGTTCAGGTAGAGGTACATTAATAATCTGCCAATAGTATTCATATGTGTTAGGAGCAATTTATCATAGCACTTATTTAGTGAAGCTGAAATAAATACAGTACATTGAAGTCATTCATGATCTTACCACCAGTCTGTTGGTGAGTTTGGCCGAGACAAATCCAAATGCTAAGATGTAGAGACAGGGATGTCTCTCGAATAGCTGCATTGAAGACTTCTTATAGATCATTAGAGCAAGTGTGATTACCACTCCTATATGGAAGGATGGAGACAAAACGCTTGTTCCCTAACAAAAGAAGAAAAACAGATGTGCAAATAATTTAGACGTTAGACCAATTTTGACAAAGTAACAAGATCTTTTGTTTTAAATCAAGTTCACATCATGTGCATTTAACAATGCAAATGTCTGATACATACTGCATGAAAAAAAATTGTTGCTTAAAGGGGTCATATGATGCGATTTCAATTTTTCCTTTCTCTTTGGAGTGTTACAAGCTCTTGGTGCATAAAGAAGATCTGTAAAGTTGCAAAGACTAAAGTCTCAAATCCAAAGAGATATTCTTTATAAAAGTTAAGAGTCAACCACGCCTACCTAAAACGGCTCGTTCTAACACGCCCCCACATGTCTACGTCACGATGTGGGAAGATTTGCATAACACCGCCCAAATGTTCATGCAAAGAATGAAGGCGTATCTTTCGGCCAATCACAACGCACTGGATAGCTGGCCAATCAGAGCACACCTTGCTTTTCAGAACGATGAGCTTTGTAAAAATCAACGCGTTTCAGAAATGCGGGGCATAGAGGAGAAACAATAATGTACAGTATGTGGAAAATAATGTGTTTTTTAACCTTAAACCGCATAAACACATTTCATTACACCAAATACACAAAATAATGTTCTTTTTAGCAACATCCTATGACCCCTTTAATCATTATTTCGAAGCATTTCACAAACAGAAGCCATTTATATTTTTAAGGTATTTTATATTTAAACTACTTTAGCTCAAATTATTATTTAAAAAATAATTTTCAGGTTGGTCCAATTGGTCCTAGACTAGAGTAAACAACTCATTTTAAACTATTTTAGTTCAATTAAAATTTATTTCAATTAAAAAAAGAAGGTTACTTTTAGAATTAAATATAATAAAAATAAAAATAAATAACACAAAACTATGAATTTTACACTCAAGCAATGAACGACAGTGTTTGTCACTATACATTTTGTCTTTTTGCATTTCTGTTTGGTGGTGCAGAAATCCCAAACACTTCAGCTTTTACTTACCGCAACACTAGATCCATTTTTGCCCATTCCGCCTGTGAATATAACCCGGAAGTAGTTTGTGCAGGAGAAAACGGCACCCAGAAGAGTGCAAATGGCCGGTATTATTTTAATCTGGATATTTATCACAGGGATCTGAAAGATTAAAAACAAATCTCTCATATCCTGTTTCTAATCATCACATCATTATATATGAGTCCTATTCATTGTACATGTAAAGATATTCTGCATTTCACTCAACACATGCAACATGCTAGAGAATCAGATTTCCTGACCGACCATGATATACAGATTTAACAAATTTGTCCTTGAGAATATGGTCTAATCATATGACCAAAATATGAAAGAATTAAGATTGATTTGAATTACCACAGATTGCCAAAAAGCCGTTCCTCCAATGGCAGCCAGTAAGTACATGATTATAATGTAGATTTGAACCTCAGTCACATCAATTCTGCACAAGCAAAGAAGTGATTAAAAGATTAAATAAAATGAATTATTAATCTCACTCAACTCTAGCACTTTTCTTTCTTTCTTTCTGTAGTCCTTTATTAGCAGTACAACAGCTGTCTGAAAGCTGCTGGTTTCCCATGAGCAGAACAGAACGTTCAAATATAATATTTGTGAACTGTACGTGAAGTACAGGAGCCATCGATTATGATTAAGAAGACAGTTTTCACTCACATGCCAAAGCGCAGCGTTCCAGAAACATACGTCTGCCAGTGGGCACAATAAAACATGAAGATGCCCACGAAACAACAGAAAAACATCCAGTCAGGGTGAGTACCCAGCTGCACTGCTATACATGTGCCCAGGACCACAAACACTGCATCAGAGAAAGACACAAAACAACAAGACAGTAAGTATGTATGTCTAAAGGCTGGAATACACTACACGACTTTTCAAAACTGAATAGATCTTAAAACACTGGGCATCATGCACTTACCGACTTTGTAACAGTCACAGAGGAAAAACTGGGCATCATACACTAGCAGACTTTAAAGGCCAATTCACACCACACAGACAAACGCCAACAAACACCAATAGACAAGTCTGTCGGAGTTTGTTGGATCAGTGCGTTACTGTTACCCCTGTAACACACTGTTTGATATGTAACATGTTTGTTATCCTCCGACTGGATGGAATCAAAGTCTGAAGCTAAAAAATCAGAGTCTGTGACCAAAATACACTATGCGATTTTCTATTAAATCTGTCAGCTCAAATCTGCAGACTGGCTTTGACTTTCGGCAACTAACGCAACTTAAGACCGTAAATCGAGGGGAAAATGGGCCAAAAATTGTGTAGTGTATTCCAGCCTTAAAGTAAGACACATATATGTTGCTTATACACACATAAGGTATATATTTCTCATCTATTTAGAGATGCACAGAAAACTTGCCCAAAAATGAGACCAAAAAACAATATTTTTTTTAAGCATCCAATAACAGAACCTTTCAGATGGGAAACATGTGCGTACATGTGAAATTGGTTTTAATAAAAATGTAAATTAAGATGGATAATACATTGGTGGAAAAGAGTGTAAAGTATTCTTCCACAATATTTTAAAACAGAATAAGAGATGCTATTCTATTAATGCCAAACTAAGGAAGAAATATATCATAATATAAAAATAAATAAATAAACAATAATATTATAATATAATAGCTTTTTATAATAGACTTTTTTTATTATAATATTTTTGCTTTTAAGCCCAGTGTCTAGAATTTTAGGTTTCAGGCAATATAAATGATAATCTGTCTGCATTGATAGATAATACATTTTGACCTATACATCTTTACTCAAATGTATAGGGCTCAATCTCTTAAATGAATTTCGTAATAAAGTAATAAAACATAATGCCATAGATCTAAGTGTAATATCATAGTAGCCGACTGTATTTGCATTCACAAACGTGAGCAGACCTGTAGAGAGGGAGTCACAGCCATGATCAAAGAGCTCGCCAAGAGGTGTGCTGCTATTGGTCCGTCGAGCCTGCTTTCCATCTATAGCATCCAATGATTGGTAGATGAACAGACCCAAAGCACAAGCTAAGTATGCCCACGTTGGTGCCTGAAAAAGATAAAATAGGCTTCAATTTCTGTCCACTTGGATGCTTTTCACTGACTTTGTGAACCAATAACCAACATGCAAGTTCATACTTACTGCACAAAGAAAAACATATGAATGTGTTCTTTTATCTCTATAAGCCTAACTGTAGATACTAATGGTACGTGGAGAGAGAGTGGGTGTCATATTGCAGACTTGAGCAATGTAGATGTTTTCCATAACATCAGGACTCATAAGACTGTTATAGCTGATAAACAGACTCCGTTACAGCTGACAGAACAAGCTGTGTCTGACAATACACAGTTTCTTATTGCACGGTTTAAATAGACCACAGCAATTATCTCCTCAGGAGAGCTCAGAATATACTAAATTATGGCCTTCACAGATAGGCCTGTCGCAATAATCAATATATCGACTTATCGCGCAATATATGTACATGACCTCAATAATTTTTGGTGACGCAATATATCGCCCATTATATTTACTTAAAAATTAATGTCACCACGTTTTGTACATTCCACTTGCGCCTGTGTCTTTTGCAGCT